AGAGAGAGAGAGAGAGAGAGAGAGAGAGAGAGAGATATGCTGCTTCCTGCTGAGACAAAGCAAAGGCAGGAGCCTCACCAATAAGCTTGTCAGCTTGTCCGAGAACAGCATGAGGCCACTCTCTTTTTTACACACACAGAGAGAGAGAGAGAGAAGGGGGGGGAGAAGCGCAAGTGCCTCTCTCTGTCTCTGCAAATGGCGGAGGAGGCTGGGAGCCGCAGGAGAAGGCTCAAAGAGCCACATGGTCATGTGATCAAAATTCAGACACTTGGCAACTGACTCATATTTACGACAGTTATAGTATCTAAAGGCTTGGGTGTTTTATTTGCCATAACATGGGGAAAAAAATAGATATATACTACAATAAGCTGTCCTCCTTGTCATCTCATAGCTGATTATATCAGTAAAGGCATTTTTTTCCTGTTTACGACAGGGAGTCCTCAACTTACGACCACAATTCAGCCCAAAATTTCTATTGCTAAGTGAAACGTTTGTTAAACGACTTTTGTCCCATTTTACGACCTTCCTTGCCACAGTTGTTAGGTGAATCACTACAGCTGTTAAGTTAGTAACACGGTTGTAAAGTGACTCTGGCTTTCCTGTTGACTTTTGCTAGTCAGAAGGTCACAAAATGCGACCACATGATTCCGGGACACTGCAATCGTCATAAATATGAATCGGGTGCCAAGCATCCACATTTTTGATCACGTATCCACGGGGATGCCGCGTAAGTGTGAAAAATGGTCCAAAGTCACTTTGTTTTTTGGTGCGGTCGTAACTCTGAATGGTCGTTAAAACAAATGACGGTAAGCTGAGGACGACCTGTAATCCTTGAGATGGAGCATACCGTTTGAACTGCAGCGATAGCCTGGAAAAACAACTGTGACATGATGGATACACAAAGCTGCTGTTCTGGATGGAAATGACAGACGCAACCAGGAAGTGTCCGCCATTCATGTGCTTTCACAATGATCTATCGAAAGAAAACACAATTTCAGTTTCAAATATGAAATATACAATGGAAATATTTCTTACTCCAGAAACACATTACACCAAAAGTCTACATTGCACCTAACAGTGAGGACAATTAACCAGTGGAAAGGCTTGCCTCCAGAAATTGTGGGTGCTTCATCACTTGAGGTTTTTGAGAAGAGACTGGACAGTCACTTATCTGAAATGATAAAGGTTCTCCTGCTTGAGCAGGGGGCTGGAGTAGAAGACCTCCAAGGTCCCTTCCAGTTCTATTCTGATTCTTCTCCTTCTATTTGTTGGCGGCTAGCTCAATGGGTGAATTTACATCTTATAATATTGCATGCCCCGTATATTGTATGAATAAGAGACATTTTTTTACAAGTGTCTTGGGGCATGCCATCTTGTCTAACTGCCTACCTTACTATGCAGTGTAGCTTGAACATTTAACACATAGTTTGACAAGCTGACATGGTGTGGAGTATGCCAGAGAAGAAATGGTAAATGGAAATCAGCAAAGCCCAATGACTAAGGTAGGATGAAGAGTCACAGTGTGTATACCGGCTCTTTGTAATTCCTCTCTGGGCAAGGAAAGAACATGAGATCACCCACAAGCGCTCCAGACTGTTCTTCCTTATGAGAAGATTTGCAATGCAGGGGTCTCTGGTGGGTTTAGAGCTCTAGGACAAGGGAATAACCATCTTGTAGCTCAAACTGCAGTCAGGTGGAGATAAAATCAGATGGGGAGTTTGGTTGGACAGTATGAACCTTACTTAGTGGGTGCAAGAGACAGCCAGTAAGCCATATGGATCTCTTCCAGAATGCACCTCTAAGATGATATCGGTTCAGAAGTTCTAGTTCTAGTGCAGTGATGGCGAACCTTTTAGAGATGGAGTGCCCAAAACTGGCCCCGCCCCGCCCCCACCCCGCCTGCCCGCAGGGCCACTCACCGCCTCCAGGACCCGCCGCAGATCACCCAGGCAGCCCAGCAGCGCCATGGCGGCCATGCCCTCTGCCCGCGCCCCGCAGCATCAACTGTGCGGGATGGGGCGTGAGGGCAGAGTCTTGTCTACACTGCCTGGCTGCCATGTCCTTGGCTGCGCTGCTCTGTGTGGGCCACGCTCGGGGGTGACTCTCCTCCAGGGGGCTGCTGCTGAGGAGGGGGTCGTGGGGGGAGGCGAGACTGGGGCAACGGCACGTGTGCCCATAGAGAGGGCTCCGAGTGCCGCCTCTGGCACCCGTGCCATAGGTTCGCCACCACTGTTCTACCGAATGAGTCACTGGTCATGATTCCAGAGAGTAACATAAGAGACTAGCCCTCAATTCCCACCCAGGGCAGGCCTGGGAAGATTCACTTTAAGGAAGTTGAATTGCTTCACAAAATCAGGGTTTTACACCACCTGTCCTGGGAAAGACTATCCCTTGGGATGCTGGCTGGTGAGCCATACATATACAGAGAGTCCTCGACTTACAACCATTCATTTAGTCATCATTCAATGTTACAACAGCACTGAAGAAAAATGATGTGACAGTTTTTCACACGGATGACCATTGCAACATACCCGTGGTTAGGTAATAAAAATTCAGATGCTTAGCAACTGACTCAGATTTATGACAGTTGCAGTGTCCCACAGTCGTGTGATCACTTTTTGCGACCGTCAATCAATCAATCAGAACAGAGCTGGAAGGGACCTTGGAGGTCTTCTAGTCAAACCCCTTGCTCAAGCAAAGTCAATGGGGGAGCCAGATTCACTTCACAACCGTGTTACTAACTTAACAACTGCAGTGGTTCACTTAACAACTGTGGGCAAGCAAACTCACAACTGTCTTGCTTTTAGCAAAGGAAATTTTGGGCTGAATTGTGGTGGTAAGTTTATTATTAGACATTGATTGATTTATACGACAATCATAAACCCAGTCAACCTTGACATTTGTTGCTCAGATCTGGAGTAGGTCTGTTCCTTTCTAGCTTACTCAGATAATACACAATAGAGTTTTGTGCAATTGCACAACCGAAAATAGCTCCTCTCTGTGGCAATGCGTCACACATGCTGCTCAAGTAGAAGCTGGTACATTTAGGCCTGCCTAGAAAATCTTGTGTGAAAATTAGATCCCTGACCCACAGTACAGAAGCATCTTTTTGGATGGACTACTCCCGTGATGGCGAACCTATGGCACGGGTGCTAGAGGCGGCACTCAGAGCCCTCTCTGTGGGCACGCGCGCCGTCGCCCCAGTCCTAGGCCTTCAGCTGGGTTTTATAAAACCTTTTCGCTTTACGCCTCCGCCGCCGTGTGCAAAAAAAAAAAGGTTCAATCAATCAATTGCAACTTCTCGTGGGAAAAAAAAAGATCTCGCAAAGTTGGAATTGATTGAACTTTTTAGTCACACCCAATCTGCCGTTACCAACATAGCCACGTCCCCCAATAGGCCACACCCACCCAATGGGCCACGCCCACCCGGCACCCGACAATACATAAGTGGGTTTTGGGTTGCAGTTTGGGCACTCGGTCTCTAAAAGGTTCGCCATCACTGGACTACTCTCTCCTCCCAGCTGTGATCTAGTCTTTTATCTCCATTTTCACTCTGAACCTAGAACTTTTTCCACTGTGGAAGACGTCAGCACTCACTCATCCCTGCTCCCCCTGTCTCAAAGAAGGGTGCAAATGCCTGCTTGGAACTCAAAGAGTTTCTGTCACTGCAGACTCCAATACAAAGCAACATTGCCAAAGTTTTTTTATCCTAGGAGTCCAGCTTCTTTTGGAGTTAAAAGGAAGCCCTTCCTAAGGAAGAACCTGTTGTTGTTCACCCGCTAAGTAATGTCCAGTTCTTTGGCCCACAGCATATCATGCCCCTCCCGCCCTCCTCTGTCTCCCGGAGTTTTCCCAAATTCATGTTTGTTGCATTGAGGACACGATCTAACCCAGCGGTTCTCAACCTATGGGTCGCGACCCCATTTGGGGTCGATCGACCATTTCACGGGGGTCGCCAAGCAAGGCTGTCCGCCATTTTTTTCCCTTTTTCCAGCGGGTGCCTTACCTCCCTTGGGCTGGGCCAGCTGGTGGTCGGCCTGCTCCATCTCTGCCGCTTGCCAGCTACGCCTCGGCCGGCGCAGGGGGCGGAACCACGCATGTGCGGTGCTCCCAGGCAGGGAAAGTCCTCGACTTATGACCAGTTGGGTAGTCCTCGACTTACGACCGGTTTAGTCCTCGACTTACGACCGGTTTAGTCCTCGACTTACGACCGGTTGGGGGTCACGGCATTAAAAAGGTTGAGAATCACTGATCTAACCAGCCATGATGGCGCAGTGGTTAGAATACAGTACTGCAGGCTAATTCTACTGACTGCCAGCAGTTCGATTCTCACCGGCTCAAAGTTAACTCAGCCTTCCATCCTTCCAAGATGGGTAAAATGAGGACCCAGATTGTTGGGGTCAAATATGCTGACTCTGTAAACCGCTTAGAGAGGGCTGTAAAGCACTGTGAAGCGGCATATAAGTCTAAGTGCTGTTGCTATTTCATCCTCCCCTTCTTCTTTTGCTTTCAATGAAAGAACCTGGTTTAGCATTTAAGAAATTCATGGAGCAGAATGGAGGGAAAAAACACATACACTGCCTTAGCTATGAGTCTCCATTTCCTGGATGTTGAAGAGATACACAGCTAAATGCCTTAACAAGCCATGCAGCCCTGAACAACAGTAGATGTAGTTCCACCAGGTGGAGACATACTGAGAGATCAGGAATATATGGAGCTCAATCTGACACTGTCTCTGAATCTGTCTCCTAACCATACATCAGCGTAATAAACCAGTATTGTTAAAGCACCTGTAGAGGTAGTTAATCAGATATTTACCACCAGACACCATTACTCCAGCAGAAGCACCAATTCAGGTTGAATTAAATGGTGCTTTGCAGCTATTTCCTCATTCTACTATGGTGTTTTTTTCAAATTAGAGCAGCAACCCCCCCCTTGTGCCATTTGTTCCTTAAATGCCTACTGCTTCATCAAGAAACTTTACCCAGATCAAATATCATTCCCCATCTAAGCCAATAACAGGAGGGATACTCTGGCCCAGATAGAAGAAATGGTAACACCTCAACTGCAGTAAACTAGAAAGCTGTTTCAGTACCTCAGAGCCATACAGAGAGTGGTTAAAAAGACAAAATGAACGGATAGCTCACCAGAAATTGCCAGGTGGAGGAAAAGGTGTTCTACTCCCTTTCTCCCTAAATAATGGGGGTGAGAGAAGTTGGCTCCAACATAGCTGGAGCGCGCCAAGTTGAAGAAATCCAGTTAAATCCGTCCACTGGAAGAGAAGAAAAAGGTCTAATTTCCTGAAAGACAAAATAGCAAACATTTTAATGCTGGCTCTCTTGGGAAATCTCACTCCTTCCAGAAAGCAGTCTTCATTCAGGTTCCCTCTAGAAACAGGAATCTGCACCAGTTGGGTTTCTGCCTGCCACAGGTTTCCATCCAGGTGTTCCTAAAACAGTGAGGCCTTTAATCATGAGAAAAGCTGCTGCCCCACACTGGAATTAAAGCGCTGGCTGGGGATGATGGAAAGCAGGGTCCACCTTTCAGCAGTCTGAAAGACCCTAGAAAGAGGGTCTTCAAACTTGGCCCTTTTATGACGTGTGGACTTCAACTCCCAGAATTCCTCAGCCAGGCACGCTGGCTGAGGAATTCTGGGAGTTGAAGTCCACAAGTCATGAAGGGGAGCATAGTTCCCCCATGCTGGCTGAGGAATTCTGGGAATTGAAGTCCACAAGTCATGAAGGGGGCCTTAGTTCCCCCATGCTGGCACAGGAATTCTGGGAGTTGAAGTCCACGAGTCATAAAAGGGCCAAGTTTGAAGACCCCTGCCCTAGAACAAGTACAGTTGGCGTGAATGGATATCCCGCCTTTTATACAAGACTGATCAAGGCAGCCTTCATAATATTCCCTCCTCCCAGTTTTAAGCAAACAACAACCCTGTGAGGTAGGTCGGGCTGAATGGGACC